GGGGGTGGGGGTGATGGGTCATAGATGCACCGGAGGTTGTGAGGACCGGAGGTTGTGAGGACATACGGTCGCTTTGTTCTCTTCTGATGGTCCTTGGGTGATGATTTTGACGAGTTCGTCGAAATCTGGGTGCTGGACAATCTTGCTAAGCTCCCTGCCGAGAGCGGGCGGGAATGCTTCGTTGGGCGTGTTGCCAACAATTCGCGCTTGTACAATGGCGACTGTGCTTCTCTTTACAAGGCTAAAGGCAATATCGCGGATGCTAGCCATTATCATTTCGTCAGACAGAGGCGCATACTCCTCCCCTCCGGCTGCGGCGGGCGTCACCGCAGGTGGCTGACCGTCGGCCGAAGGTGCCTTGGACTCCTCCCGGGACTTTTCCTTGCGTCCGGAGGAACTACAGCAACAGGCCAGTTTCGAGAGGAACGACATTTAAAAATTAGGCAACAAATCTGCCTCGCGAGTTAACGGCAAAATTTGCCGACTTCAATTAACTTTAAGGAAACAACTACCCGGTCCAGATGCCCGACTACCCAGGGCGGATACCCAGACCAACTACCCATCCATTCACCCCTCAGTCATGCCCAGTCATGCCTCAGCATGTCTAGACTCCAGCAGCACCCCCCACGAAGCCTATGATAAAATCGATCCGGCATTCCTCCGGTGGGCTGCTCAGATTACCCGCCGTCCGTCGTGGACTACTCTACTATGTCGTCCTGCAGCGGTCCAGCCCTACAGCGGTCTAATCGTGAGGCGTCATAACACGCTATGCGGTGTGTCCGACCGAACCTCCTCGGATCCTAGTCCGCAAGTGCGCTATCAGTTCGCACACAGATCAAAATGCCAGAAACGCCCCAAACGGCTGAGTCAGATGGCGGCGAATATTTTAATCGGTCCGCGTACGGTCGTTTCATGTGCACCATTATGTGCAAAGCGACCAGTACGGATTCGTATGGTCACAGCGAAAATGTTCTTCTGTAATGACTTAACTGCTGCTAGGACTACAAACCCACCCCACGGGGCCACTGCGACTTCGGATGCCACTCTCAAGAGTACCGATCAAGTAATTTCAGTGCTGCCTGCTTGCTTGTTTGCCGGTTAGCTGGCTGGGACATCAGCAACACACAGAGCGGGAAGGAAGTTTTGGTTGTACGAGCGAGCGTGTAGGGAGCCTGAGCGGTAGGGAGCCTGAGTGGGTCCTTTTATAAAGGGAAGAAAGATGGGGTTGGTTCGGTGCGGGAAAATAGCGGTATTAGAGGTCGCGTGTTGGCGGGACACATCTGCGAGTGTCCTCCCTCAGCGGCGAGTGTGTGTTCCGAGCTTTGTGAGTCTGGTAGACGATGGACTTCCGAAGCGGGAAGTCCGTCAAGACAACCATTCAAGTCATCACCCCGAGTTGGCGGCGGGATTCAAACGCAGGGGCCGTCGCGGACCGTGTTTGGCTACGGAAGGGGTTTCAGGTCGCATCGCCGGCGTTTCGTCTCTCCGTGCCAAGAGTTCTACGCTGGTCGCCAGCACAACCCCCCAAACCGGGGCCGCCACCGCCGCTGAGATGCCGGCCGATAATCTGTGGCTGACGGTCGGATCCACGGTGGCCAGCGGGGGCGTCATCGCCTGTCTCCTCGTCGGTGCCTACAAACGCGAGCATAGACTCTCAGTCGACCGACGCAAGGACTCCATTGACTATCTCATGTCTGACGGAGACCTGAGCGAGGATGAGAAGTAGGCCAACGCGATCATGTCCAAGTGCTCTCGACCAATTTGCGTGAGTCGAGGCATGCTGGGCTAAACCAGGTCTGGATCAGGTCAAGCCGGCCGGGTTGGCCAGGCCGGACGGCACCAATCATTGCGACCGTTTGTTTTATAACAAACTATTTGCTGCCTTATTGCGGAAGGCACTCACTGTTCGTTCTGGAAAAGGAGGGAGACAGGGGTGGCTTACGTACATATGCACGGGTCGGGTGGGGTTGGTAACGAAGGCCGGGCGGGGTCGGTACAGAATTTTAACTCCTCAATGTAGGACGGAGGTTGGGAAGAGTCCTTTAGCGTGCCGGTAGGTGTAGCACAGCCGACGGATGGGTAGCGAACTGAGCCTGAGCTGACCTTCACTGTCCCCAATAGACTGCCGACGGCGCCGACAGAGGTCCCGGAGCCGCAGGTGATATATGAGCCGCGTACGCCCCGAGTGGTGTGTCCCCAAGAGCCGGCTGCACTTATTGCGCATGAAGCAGGCACTGGCCGACAGACCCCCTGTGCCCAGACCCACGGCCTCTAGGTATCGGGCACGAGGCAGAGGAGGCCCTTGCCTAACGCCCAGCTTCGGCACGGGCTGTACGCCCTGCAGCTGTGAGGATACACTCGTCATAGACCAGGATGTCGCTGACAACCAATGGAACGTACTCAGCTGGTCCGTTGGGCCTCATTGTCGGCTTCATCCTCGGCTACCACCGCCACGAGCAAAACATGAGACGCCGACGAGTCCGTATAGACTCCATCGACTCCTCAGGCACCGGATATGACCACGTCGCCGAATATGATCTCACCAGCTACGGCTCACAAACAACAGCTCATCAACCGGGCTACGAGCCTAGGTCGCTCATCTAGGCGCCTACCTGATGCCTCTAGCGCGTCATGTCAGCTAGCTAGCGCATCCTTGTATAAGTGCAGAAAGTTTTTTCCGATATGAACGTTTGTTTCATCGACAATGAGCAGCGCTCATTCTTGGATGGAGTGTCCTCGAGTGATGGTTGACGCTTATACGAAAAACTTTTTGGTGATTGCGGAGAGCGCCGTCGCTTTCTCCATACATTTCAGGTGCCGGTCGAGAAGCTCTGAAGCTCGCGAGAGCACCTCAACGACTTGTTCGTCTTGCGTATCTCGGATCCAGGGTTGGTTATGTTGTATGAGCTGGAACAGGACGATGAACAGGACGTCTTGACACCAGAAGAGGTCGCCTTCTAAGTTGTCTAGAAGTCCGATAACAGCCTGGATGAACTGTTGATTGGTTAGGCCGGTAGCGGCGCGATGGAGGTTGCCGGCTTCAATAAGTGCTTCCAGTATGCGTACGTTTTCTTTTCGTCGTTTATTTTTGTATGCGAGTGAGTGTAGATCGCCATTTTCCGCCATGTCGGGTACGGCTTCGCAGGCATAGCAGAGCGCAGAGGTGTACTGGTGGGTGCGCATGAACTTCTCGGCCTTGGCGGAGACCCAGGGGTGGCCGTCGCTGACTCGTAGTTGGTGTGTGCGGCAATCATCACACTCTTCGCTCGGATCCGATTTCTTGCCGCATCGACACCTCCATTGGACACCTCGGGCGCGACCGGGTCGATAACGCGGTCGCACACGCACCTGGTCCACACGCACGTCTCCATCAACTGCGCTGCTGCCCAGGAATTTGCTTTCTGCGTCGCCCACGCACGCCAGCAATACTTGCCGCGCATCCACGCGTTGCAGTAACTCCCAACCCATCCGGCCCAGCCGCGTAACTTTCACCGTCCCGTCAGCCGAAGATGTGACCGCGCGCAAGCCGTCCGTCGAATCCACAACTTTCAGATCCGTAATCCTCTGCAAGTGAATCACATGGCGCGCAACCACCGGGCCTTCGTCCTGATCCGGCGCCGCCATGACTTCGTCCACTGCGGCTTCCACCGCCGCGGCTGTAGAAGGGGAGAGGTCGTCCAGCAAGATGTTAACGGCATTGTCCTGACTGGCAAACAGCACACCACTTCCGGACGGAGCCACGGCGTCGCTAATCGACGTTGTTTCGGGGCCAGGCTCTGGAACGAGCCTGTGGACCAGACGCGTAATACCAGGGGAAGTGGCCTGAGTAGTATCCATTGCCTGACCGCTCCGACTTGCTCGGTCCCCAGGGATGACGGTGCACGACTGGAGCAGCTTAACTGTCCCCCATTCGTCATCGTGCGTGTTCTGGGGCGGATGGTACATGTACTTGCGGATGCAGCCGTCTGAAAAACCCACGAAGAAGGTGTAGGGCTCAGTGGAATGGGCGGCCACCGAGATGGGCTCCGCTGTGGCCAGCTCATGGACAACGGCGACGGGGTCTTGATCTTTGGCCAGGTCCCAGACACACAGTCGCCGTTGCGAACAGACGGAGACGACGTGTGTCCGAACTCCGAGAAATTCACACGCGACAATCTTTCCAGTGTGTCGCTTCCACCATCGAATCGGCTCTCGGATATCCTCGACTCGCAGTATACCCAGTAGGCCGTCGATGCATCCGACCGCAACCAGCTTTCCGTCATCTCGTGGCGAAAGGGCCGACAACGAGGTCTTGAAGCCGGCAAACTGCCGCTCCGTCTTGGTCTCGAAATCCACGAAAAACAACAGAGATCCGTCAGCAAACACCAGACTCTGCGTCACATAATCCTCCGCAAATTCCACACTGCGCTGCTCTATTATGTGCATCGCCTCCACACCACTCCGTGCTCGACATTGTATATATGGCTAAGAAATACAAGAATAACCCCTCATGAATTTTTGCCTACCTTGTACTCTGCGCAAGCTTGTGTCACATTTTGCAGGTAAAGAGCGCACTCGCCCGGGACCCGTATCATTGTGTTTTAAGAGAAAAAAATCCGCCCGAGAGATGCCTGCCTGGGGGGTCGAAATCCACAAATATGAAAGTATGGCCCAGAAGCGCGGCGATTCTCAGCACCAACGCCAGCAAATTTTACGTCATCGATTTTAAAGACTTGCGATCCGCGCACACGCGTGTGCACACGCGCGCGTGCGCGCGCTCTCGAGGGCAGAAACGTTTGGGGTAATCTTTCCATCGGTCTAACTTCAACTTAGAGGACAAAGTCTTTGTATATGGAATAGTTAAAGGCTTGGATTTCGAGAGGTGCGAAGCATCGTCGCTGGAGATAGGGGAGCAAAACAATCAGGTTATATCAGGGTATGAGCTCATGTTAGATCATTGGTGTTGGGGAACTAAATCCTATCGACCGGACCTTGAATTACGGCGGAAACAACTTCCTCCGGTGGTACTCCCGACGGCGAACGCGCGCGTGTTTGCTATATCGAACGCGCTGGATATAGAGCAAGACCCAGGGAAATATAAGTGTCAGTTGTATTTGCCTCTTACGTTGCCTCCGACGGTACGACGAAAAAACTTTAGTTATGACTATATTCTAGCGATTGCAAATAAGCAGCCGGATAGTAAGAGGCGAGATGGCACGCAGCGCGACAGCAAAAAGACGCCTGGGGAAGCAACGAACCTCGAGCTTAAGGGGAGGCCGTTGACGACGAATTCTCTGTCCAGGTCTTTTGGAGAAGACTCTGTGCTGGAAGACAACTTCAGCGGCAGCAAACAATGCTCATTAACTCTGAAGGTTGAGCCTTCCCTGGCACTTCTCGCTCCATTAACGGAATGGATTCCTACTTTTGTCAAGTACCGGGATCTGAGCAAAGCCTTGCTACCTCCCCCACCCATATTCCCGCCCCTACCCAACCGACCGGGCACTCCCAGCTCCCTCGCACTCGATCCGAGACTTACCTAAGGTGAAGGATTACCAGTCGAAAAGTCGGCGGCTGATTGACCCGGAGCGCGAGGCTGCACGCCAGCTTGCCAGTTGGTCTTTGGTCATTTTACAAGTTCCCTGTGAACATTGCCATATGGGGAATTCTCATTGTGTTCGTAAGTTAGGAGAGCGTTCCATCCATCGACCCGTCGGAAGGGTTTTCTTGGATAGATGACAACGACAAACTACGCAGTATCCTCCCGAGCTAGCTGGGTGTGGTTGGAACGGGTTGGGACTGACCGAGTGTCAGCGGCGTTTCAGGTCGCGTCGCCGGCGTTTCGTCTCTCCGTGCGATGCTGGTCGCCAGCACAACCCCCCAGACCGGAATCGCCATTGCCGCTGAGATGCCGGCCGATAATCTGTGGTTGACTATCGGATCCACGGTGGCCAGCGGGGGCGTCATCGCCTGTCTCCTCGTCGGTGCCTACAAACGCGAGCATAGACTCTCAGTCGACCGACGCAAGGACTCCATTGACTATCTCATGTCTGACGGAGACCTGTGCGAGGATGAGAAGTAGGCCAACGCGATCATGTCCAAGTGCTCTCGACCAATTTGCGTGAGTCGAGGCATGCTGGACTAAACCAGGTCTGGACCAGGTCAAGCCGGCCGGGTTGGCCAGGCCGGACGGCACCAATCACCGCGGCCGTTTGTTTTATAACAAACTATTTGCTGCCTTATTGCGGAAGGCACTCACTGTTCGTTCTGGAAAAGGAGGGAGATAGGGGTGGGGCTTACGTACATATGCACGGGTCGGGTGGGGTTGGTAACGAAGGCCGGTCGGTACAGAATTTTAATTCCTCAATGTGGGACGGAGGTTGGGAAGAGTCCTTTAGCGTGCCAGTAGGTGTAGGACAGTCGACGGATAGGTACCAAACTGAGCCTGAGCTGACCTTCACTGTCCCGAATAAACTGCCGACGGCGCCGACAGAGATCCCGGAGCCGCAGGTGATATATGAGCCGCGTACGCCTCGAGTGATGAGTCCCCAAGAGCTTGACCGGCTGCACTTATTGCGCATGAAGCAAGCACTGGCCGACAGACCCCCTGCGCCCAGACCCACGGTCTCTACGTATCGGGCACGAGGTAGAGGAGGCCCTTGCCTAGCGCCTAGCTTCGGCGCGGGCTGTACGCCCTGCAGCTGTGAGGATACACTCGTCATAGACCAGGATGTCGCTGACAACCAATGGAACGTGCTCGGCTGGTCCGTTGCCACCGCCGGCCTCATTGTCGGCTTCATCCTCGGCTACCACCGCCACGAGCAAAACAGACGCCGACGAGCCCGTATAGACTCCATCGACTATGTCTCCTCAGACACCGAATATGACAACGATGATCTCACCAGCTACGGCTCATAAGCAACGGCTCATCACCACCCCGTCAATCGGGGCTACACCTAGGTTGCTCATCTAGGCGCCTATCTGCATAAATGATGCGTCATGTCAGCTAGCTAGCGCACCCTTGTATAAATCTAGAAAGTTTTTTTCTATACGGACTTTTCATCGACAATGAGTGCTCGTTCTTGGATGAGTGTCCTCGAGTGATGGTTGGTTCCTTTGACGCTTATACGAAAAACTTTTTGGTGATTGCGGAGAGTGCCGTCGATACACTTCAGGTGTCAGTCGAGAAGCTCTCTCTGCATCCGAGTGAATGTAGATCGCCATTTTCCGCCATGTCGGGTACGGCTTCGCAGGCATAGCGGAGCGCAGAGGTGTACTGGTGGGTACGCATGAGCTTCTCGGCCTTGGGGGAGGCCCAGGGGTGGCCGTCGCCAACTCGTAGTTGGTGTGCGCGGCACTCTTCGCTCGGATCCGATTTCTTGCCGCACCTTCTCCTGACTGGCAAACAGCACGCCACTTCCGGACCGAGCCCCGGCGTCGCAAATCGGCGTTGTTTCAGGACCAGTCTCCGGAACGAGTTTGTGGACCAGACGCGTAATACCAGGGGAAGTGGCCTGAGTAGTATCTATTGCCTGACCGCTCCGACTTGCTCGGTCCCCAGGGATGACGGTGCACGACTGGAGCAGCTTAACTGTCCCCCATTCGTCATCGTGCGTGTTCTGGGGGGGATGGTACATGTACTTGCGGATGCAGCCGTCCGAAAAACCGACGAAAAAGGCGTAGGGCTCAGTGGAATGGGCGGCCACCGAGATGGGCTCCGCCGTGGCAGTTCATGGACCACTGCGACGGGGTCTTGGTCTTTGGCCAGGCCCCAGACACACAGTCGCCGTTGCGAACAGACGGAGGCGCCAATCTTTCCAGTGTGTCGCTTCCACCATCGAATCGGCTCTCGGATATCCTCGACTCGCAGTATACCCAGTAGGCCGTCGATGCATTCGACCGCAACCAGCTTTCCGTGTCACATTTTGCAGGTAAAGAGCGCACTCGCCCGGGACCCGTATCAGTGTATTTTAAGAGGAAAAAATCCGGCCGAGAGATGCCTGTTTGGGGGTCGAAATCCACAAATATGAAAGCGCGGCCCCGAAGCGCGGCGATTCTCAGCACCAACGCCAGCAAATTTTACGTCATCGATTTTAAAGACTTGCGATCCGCGCACACGCGTGTGCACACGCGCGCGTGCGCGCGCTATCAAACGTTTTGGGTAAAGGCACCGATTTTTCACATGCCTCGGGGCGGGCAGGTGTTATCTTTCCATCAGTCCAACTTCAACTTAGGGGACCGAGTCTTTGTATATGGAATAGTTAAAGGCTTGGATGTCGAGAGGTGCGAAGCATCGTCGCTGGAGATAGGCGAGCAAAACAATCAGGTTATATCAGGGTATGAGCTCATGTTAGATCATTGGTGTTGGGGAACTAAATCCTATCGACCGGACCTTGAATTACGGCGGAAACAGCTTCCTCCGGTGGTACTCCCGACGGCGAACGCGCGCGTGTTTGCTATATCGAACGCGCTGGATATCGAGCAAGACCCCGGGAAATATAAGTGTCAGTTGTATTTGCCTCTTACGTTGCCTCCGACGGTACGACGGAAAAACTTTAGTTATGACTATATTCTAGCGATTGCAAATAAGCAGCCGGATAGTAAGAGGCGAGATGACAGCAAAAAGACGCCTGGGGAAGCAACGAACCTCGAGCTTAACGGGAGACCGTTGACGACGAATTCTCCGTCCAGGTCTTTTGGAGAAGACTCTATGCCGGAAGATAACTTCAGCGGCAGCAAACAATGCGCATTAACTCTGAAGGTTGAGCCTTCCCTGGCACTTTTCGCTCCATTAACGGAATGGATTCCTACTTTTGTCAAGTACCGGGATCTGAGCAAAGCCTTGTTACCTCCCCCACCCATATTCCCGCCCCTACCTAGCCGGCCAGGCACTCCCAGCTCCCTCGCACTATCCTGGGACCTCGGAGCTTGTTATACAAGCGGAGTTCCGGTCTCTCTGCCAATGGTCGGATGGAAGGTGGGAGATATTGAACCAATCCACGAATTTCGAATGAACAAGGAAAAAGCAGATGTACCTAACCCCCCTCCCCCTCCCCACTATATCTTCCCCACTATATCTCCCCCTCCCCACTATCTCAACATTTGTAGATAGGAATGGGCTTTTTGCGATGGCTCTGCTTTATTTCATTAGACTTGTCTACACCCATTTCTTCCGAGCCGAAGCTTGCTGACCACATGACTCCAAGTGGCGTGAAGCCCACGATCCTTCAGCATTACTTGAGGGATAGTGATGCATCCATCAGTTCTCTTCGACAGACCATCAATCGACGAGCGCCTAAACGGCACGTAAACGAAAAGGCGGTCTCGCTGACTGGGTCTTTGTCCAAGGGCTTTAATACCAAGAAGTAAGTATGACCCTCCAGGGATCGACCACTTGACCTTCCAACGATCGACCACTTGACCTTCTAAGAATCGACCACTTGACCTTCCAAGGATCGACCACTTGACCCTCCGGCACCACCACCGCCAAGGTTCCCTGAGCTTCCCTGAGTGCTTTACTTGCAGGTTAGTTTCGGTCTTGAGTTGGACGAACTTGGTGCGAGGAAAGCAGTTCGTATCGTCGTTTGAAGCGGGTGGGGAGTTCCGGCCGCGGATAACAAGAGTGTATCGTATATCTGTGGATGGCTGTCATTTGGGTAGCTTGCAGTTATCGGGGGTTAGTCCATGTGAGCCGATCCGAGACTTACCTAAGGTGAAGGATTACCAGTCGGAAAGTCGGCGGCTGATTGACCCGGAGCGCGAGCCTATGTGGTTGGAGACAAGTGTGGGCGATACTTTGTTTGTGCATCTAGATTTGTCCGAGTCGACATTGGCTGTCGTCGAGCTGTCTGTGAGGTTGGTACGATACACACGTATCTATCAACCCCCATTAACACCTCCAGAGGCACTGGCTTGGATTCGGCGACGCAATGCACTAGTTAGGACCGCACCCGGGGGCGAGCGGAGGAACCCACCTGGCCTTAGTTGGCTAGACTTCCGGTCCTTCGACCACATGGCTGCTGTTGACACCACCCTCACCCTTCAGTCCACCACTACTGAAACCGTCGCCGAGGTTCACGCCTGCGTTAACCAGACTTGCCTCGCCGTCACGCCCCTTACCATACCCTCTCACCTAGAACCATCTTTCCGCCACGACCGCGTCGGAGTCAGCTACGAAATACAAGTCGACTTCACCTGCCTCGCCCGGCATGGCGTCGTGCTCGACCTCGCCTCACGCTGCGAGAACGGGCACGTCCCGCTAGTCACCATCAACGGCCCACTTCCCGTACGCACCCTACCCCTTCCTTACCCCAACCCGCCCACCCCCTTCCTTACCCGCACGCGGGTTCGATTCCCGCACGCGGGTTCGATTCCCGCACGCGGGTTCGATTCCCGCACGCGGGTTCGATTCCCCATGGTGATGAACATCCGTCTTTTGCAGCCCCGGTACATGAACAAGGTGACGTGGTGCAACACCGTGGTCCTCAAGACCCTCGAGCCGCTCGAGTCCAGCAGTGCCTTCGAGAAATAGTCCGCTATTTTTATGCATCCTAACTGGCGAAATGGCTGGCACGGTAAGTGTGCGAACACACACCCACAACCGGACCACACTTCACGACCGATTTACGCAGGAAATGGTATGATGCCTCCAGGGCACATGATGCAGCCTGGCGGGCCGACGAGCATGTCTCCAGCCAGCGGCCCGCGGTCTTCCGATAATCCAGGATCGAGGACTACCGACTACCCAATGATGATGCCGGGAGGGCAGGCGTCTGGTGGACCCGGGCCTGGAGGGCAAGGACACGGCGGCCAAGGCCCTGGTATGGGGCAGCCCATGGGTATGCATATGGCTTCTGGTGGCGGGAACCCAATGGGCCCAGGCGGGCCCATGGGTCAAGGAGGGCCAATGGGCCCCGGCGGCCCGATGGGTCAAGGAGGGGCATTGGGTCCAGGCGGCCCGATGGGCCCGATGGGTCCCGGAGGGCCGATCGGGTCCCGGGGGGCCGATGGGTCCCGGAGGGCCGATGGGTCCCGGGGGGCCGATGGGTCCTGGAGGGCCGATGGGTCCTGGAGGGCCGATGGGTCCTGGTGGAATGCCGCGGTCGGTGATGATGCCGCTTCGACCGATGAACATGCCACCGATGATGGGATCGCCGGTGATGTGTATGCCACCACATGGGATGCCTCCACATGGGATGCCTCCGCATGGGATGCCTCCACACGGTATGGGCCCACATGGCATGGCGCCGCATGGCATGGGCCCGCACGGCATGGGTCCTGTGCCGATGGGTGTGATGCCGCGGGGTATGATGCCGCCTGGTATGATGCCTCCTCCGGGTATGATGCCTCCGGGTATGATGCCGACACCACGGTTGATGGGGCGACCGGGGTCGGTGGCGGAGGTGCAGGCAGCGACGGAGGCGTTGCGAGAGCCGTTGAATGCGGAGGTGCCGGCTTTCAGTTTTCTGGAGGGTAAGACGGCGGCTGACCGTCAGGTGTGGTGGTTGAATGAGCAGGCGGTGGAGGTGCCACGGGCGGCATTGTCTCGTTTCGTGTTAGCTGTGTTGCGTCGATTGTACATGTCTTACCGACCGGCTGACGGGTTGTCGCACAGTGCGGTGCGGGAGACGGCTCGGCGTATGTTCGCGGCATTGCAGGGTGCGGCAGCGGGACAGCGTGAGTTGTTGCGACGTGAGCCGTTGTTCAGGCGTCCATTTGGACATGTGGATGCGAACGCGGCGTCGGCAGACTGGGCGTTCTGTACCCTGGCGCCCTTCGACGAAGAAGCCATGTGGGGCCCGAGGGGCAGCGGCGACGGCTCGCTCAAACTTTTGCTGGAGGCTGAGTCCGAAGGCGATGAAGGTCGCGATGATGGCTGGGCCTTCACAGAACGTATTCTCAACAAGGCCGTCTGTGACTTTGGCGGCCCACTCGGTATCAAGGCCGTCCGCAGGTCCGGACTCGGATCTGACGCAGCCACCCTCGTCGCCATCCTCGCATCCGTGTTCAAAAACAGGGTCAACCGAATACTCTACCTTTGCGAACAGGCCGGTAACTGTGACTGGTCAACCGTTGAGTCCTGTCTCGTCTCTGACATCGTGCGTAACGAACTCCTCTTCGGCACCGACCTCACCGACATTCAACTCGAAGATGAAACACAAAGCGTCAACACCAACAATGCAACCAGCGGCAATGCCAATGGGAGTGCTAATGCCAACGCCAGCGGCAATGCCAACAAGAACAAAAGACAGTCCACCGACCCCGGCGCCGGTTGACGACGATGAATATTTGCGACAAGCGGCGTGCGATAAGCGGCGAGCGATAAGCGGCGAGCGATAAGCGGCGAGCGATAAGCGGCGAGCGACAAGCGGCGAGCGATAAGCGGCGAGCGACAAGCGGCGAGCGATAAGCGGCGAGCGACAAGCGGCGAGCGACAAGCGGGGAGAAGTAGTTTGCAGTGACAGTGACGAACGTGCACCAGCCCTAGCGCCAGAGCCAGCGCCAGAGCTAGCGCCAGGCAAGCGTCATCTCTGCCTCCGCGGAGGAGTGGTCGTTGAAGATCAGTTAGCTCAGAGGCCACTATAAAACTCGACGACACAGCCGAACGGCTGGAAGCGGGTTCGAGTGAGCGGGTGTCTTGGCGTGGCCTCTCGCATGTGGCACGCCATCCATCAATTTCACGAAGGCTGTACGGACAAAGATTCTGCGTCTGGGTACGACGTGTAGTGAGTGAGGTTTGTGCAAAAAGATTTAGCCCTTTACGTCCTTAAGCTTCTTCTTGGGTCTGAGCTGGGAGGAGTGGCCGCAGGCCTTCTTGCGGCAGTTGGTTGCCTTGGGGTGAAGTCTGGCGTAGCATTTGCGGCAAATCATTTTTTCGCAGTTGTACTTGCGAGCCAGTTGGGCGAGGGTGGGCTCAATCTTGACACCACCGCCTCTGAGTCTGAGGACAAGGTGGATGGTAGACTCCTTCTGGATGTTGTAATCCGAAAGAGTGCGGCCATCATCCAATTGTTTGCCGGCGAATATCAAGCGCTGTTGATCCGGAGGAATGCCTTCCTTATCCTGAATCTTGGCCTTAACGGTCTCGATAGAGTCGGTGGGCTCAACCTCCAGCGTCAAGGTCTTACCCGTCAGAGTCTTGACGAATATCTGCATGGGTCAGACGAGCTATTTTTTTCCGACAAAAAAAGCGCACTGTAGACACAACGTCAGCGTCCTAGCAACTAACTCTGCTCTGCCGTGACACCCCCCCCCCCACACCCATTTTTGTTGGGGGCCATGGCTCTCAGCCAATACAATAACAGTCAGCAATGGGATAAGCTCGCGAACCTGGACAGAGAAAAGCACTACTACAACCTCCTACACGACGACCAAGAACCGGGGAACGGAGAACACGACGTCCCGTCAAGAAACCTTCCAGCGGGAGACCATCCAGCGGGAGACCACAATCCGGTGGAGGATGAAGGAAACACCGTTGATAACACATCACTGCAGACGACCAGTGAGGAGCGGCTGGCCCCGAGGGCGGCTGAGACTCGAACCCAGTCCTTGGCGGTTGGGTACGGTCTGGACGATGTCGACATTGCGGCCGGCATGCCGAGACTTCGTCTACACGGGCTGCAGACCCCCGCCCACCCGGAGGGGCGGAGCTTGGCGGTCAACAACGGCCTCGGGAACACTCAGCAAGGGCACCCTCAACAGACAGGCACTCAACAGGGGGGCACAGGGACCCCGCAACCAGAACGGACGCCGGAGTACTCTTCGCATGCGATTCGGAATCCGGCGCCGGGGCACGTAGAGTTAGGTCACTCGACACCCGGTCTTTCGCGACGACCGGCGGACTACGCGTTCGGTGTAACTCAGGAGGACGAAATGGGGTTCGACCAAGTGATCAACGACCCAATGGGAGGCAACCAAATAGAAGGCGACCAAATGGGGGCGGAGTGGCAGCGGGCCCGAGGCTTCCTTTCGAGGACGGGGTTGGACGACCGGCTCTACCCCGACCGCTGTTTCCGGCGGCGGCGCCTGGAACCCCAGCCGCGCGAGCGTGTCGTGTTCGATCGCACGCATACTTTGCTGGACACCCCGAGGCGTCGCGGGCGCCCCACGAGTGCGCCGGAACATAGCGACCGGGACCTACCGCCACGTTTGGAACTGGCGCGTCTAGGATCGCCGGGTCGCGAACTGCCAATGCGGGAAGAGGGACCCGAAGCGCCCCGCAACCGGCTGTTACAACCGAACCAGAAACGCCGACGCGTGCCCACTTCCGAACCCGCTTGGATCAGCCCCACAGACGGCGTTGCTGACTGGGGCACCCGCCACATGCTGTGTTTGGTACAACATCCGAAGACCTGGGAGCAGCCAGAGAGTGGGGCAGCTATTAACTCAGAAGGTGGTAACTCTGAAGGTGGTAACTCTGACGGTGGTAAGTCTGAAGGTGGTAAGTCTGAAGGTGGTAACTCTGAAGGTGGTAACTCAGAAGGTCATGTTCCAATAAAGTCCGCCTCTGGTCGCGGAATGTTGGACACACCCATTTGGGATAGGCCTCAGGGTCGCCGGCAGTCGTGGGAGGACTCTTCTTCCGAGGAGGCGGATCGGAGCTGGGAGTCGGAGACGGTTCTGGTTCACCCGCGTTTGGTGGGAGGAATGGTCCAGCACAAGGACGAGCGGTGGCCGTTGGGGATTGTGTATGATCAGTGGGCGAGGATAACAAATGCGCGGCCGGAGAACCCGAAGGAGTATAGCCGGTTCTGCCTCCTTGGATTCGGTACTGAACCGGATTATGGCTTGAAATCTTCTAGAAGGAACTTCGACTCATGGATACAGGGGAGGAAAGAACGTGGCTACTGCGACTGGGATTGGCTGATGAGGTCGACCTGCGCGTCCGCCCTGAACAGGCGTCAGGAAGGTATCTTGGAAGGATACCCTCTATGCGGCGGTGTCGTGGAAGGATTGGGCGAACAAGGTACCCTCCTCAAGGATGAACAACGCACTGCCCGGGATGAAGTCACGCGGAGTCGTCTCCACAACGAATCTTATAAGGTGGGTCCAAGAGAAGTTGGTGAGCAGGCTTTTGCAAGCCGGAATCCGCGCCTGCTTCCTTGGCGGGTGCAGCGTGACGCATTGCCACCCGTACCAAGATGCACGCGAGAGTTGCAGGCTGAGATGGAGCCATTCGCAACTGATCTAGATACGCCGATTCCGCAGCCACCGATTCCGGAGCAAGAAGATCCACGCGGACGTTGGTCTTGGTATGACACGATGCTGTTCATCCGAAATTTGAATATAGTAAAGGTACCCAACGGCCAATGGAAGTTGATATCTTGGCTTATGTTCGATCGGAAGACGAATCGTCAGTGCAGAGATAAATTTGTGAATTTGATAAAGCGAAGTCTGCTGGCGAAAAATGAAAGCGGCCAGTTCGTACTGCTTAAGGATCCCGACCCATCAGTAGCCATCAAAAGTTACAGTCCAAGTGGGGGCAACACTTTGTATAACCGAACACGTCGTAGACAGTCCTCCCGTCCATCGTCAGAGTCCCCTCAAAACACAAACCAAGAAATTGACTGAGCATGGTGATTTTTGCACTATATAGTGCGTATACTGTCGTCGGACCCCGGATTATTGAAGTCATTGAGATAATTTGTATCGTGTATGGCCTTAAGTGCAACCAGAAGTTGTTGCTCGTACGTTTGAATTTCATCTTGAAGGAGCATGACCCTTACTCCTTGGCGCATCATCGCGAGACCGTGTATTCTAGTGCCCATGCGATGCCTGTTGGATTCCCATCGTCGATAAGCTGTCAAGTCGTGGGACTTCTTGCAAATCTGCGTACATCGTTTGCCAGAAAGTGCGATCGGACAAATCGGAAATTCGCCGTCCGTTCTGGCACCGCTCAACAGCTCTCGCCTCCGCTGGTTGTAAACTTTGACATATTTATTGAAAGATGGAAATACTTTGTACGCGGGTTTGGAGGAGTGTTTGGACTTAGCATCCAAGCCGGCCTCGCTTCGGAGCGTCTTCTCCAGCACGCTAAGTTCACACGAACCTTCAGACAAGACTCTTTCCCGCTCGTCAGCGGAAAATTGACCGTTTACCGCACGCGCGCGCTTTCGCGCACGCAACCATAATTCTGTCTCAGTCGGACTTTCAGCCAATTTCTTGCCACTGGCGTCCGTTATATGAGCTATCTTGTGTGCCAGCAACGCGTCCGGTGGGCCACTCCAGCTGCACCGTTCGAAGTCGCAGTAAACGTGATCTTCGGCTTCGTGATACTCCAGCAACTCGGCTGTCCGGAAACTGCGGTCGCAGACTTCGCAATACCCACCCCTACTCTCCTCGCGGGAGTCGTGAACAAACTCGGGCGCGGTCGGCGGTGGCGGAGGGTCCAGGTCAGTCACTCCGATCAACGACGGGACTGCTGTCTCTGGCGGCGGCGGCGGCGGCGCCTGTTGCTGGGTGAAAGCGGACTGTTGGAACTGCACCTGGCCGTAGCCAACCGCCCCCTGGTTTGTTCCCATCTCGTGAACAACTGGACACGAAGTTTGCCGCACACGAACTGACTCTGGAAACCGCAGCGGAGGAGGCGGCGGCGGGGGCGGAGCCGC